CTTTTGGTGTTTAAACTGGCGGAAAAGAGGCGAATTTGCGCCAGAGTTTCAAATGCTGTCCAAGTTCCCGCTTGTATTCAAAACATGTCAATAATCAAAATCCTTAGTTTCGTTGACTTATCCGCTAGAGCGACCCTGCAAACGTATCACTAAAAATATATATTTTTCTCAAAAGACTATAAAGGGGTAGGCCCTTGTACAGTTCTTTACCCCAATAATAGTAAAATATATCAAAAAGAATCTTGGTATAACGAAACCTCGTTATACCAAGTTCGAAACCTCGAACAAATTTTAGGGACAGCCAACGACTGTTTTCTGTAAAATATATGTTCAGAGAAGCAAATATTACCTAGAATTTTCTATAAGTTGAGGACCCCTAAAAATGTCTAAATGTTGTTTTGTTCATGTACAATTTTCGAGGGTTATCAGATAAATTCCGTACGATTTTCTGAAGTCTAATGTTTCACATTTTACATCCCAGGTTAGGCTATTTTTTCGTAGCAAAAAGGGAACCTAAACTGTTCGGATTCAAATATGTGAATGAGAGAGGAATTAAAAAAATTCTCACTTTCGTGATACGCTAAATTGCATATTATTTCCAAAAAAATAATACTGAAGCCCTTGTAAATTCGACAAGACTCCTAGGATGACCTAACAGATATAAATTTTATAGCGCCGCTTAGAATACATTTCTAGAAACCTAAAAGTACTCTGGGTACGTACACTAAAAAGGGGTTTTCAATAAATTTAGAAGGAAACCGTCGTTGCATGGGTAGCCCTAAAATGTTGTCAATTTCTTGGCCCTTCCTTCAATCGAGGTTCCACTGTAGTTTCTTGTTTTCCATCACGTTCGTTTTGAAATACGATCATGAATTCCTTACTTGTATTGTTAAAAAAATGACATTAAGGGGAAAAAAGTCGTAGGCTGAAATGTTATCCGTCCCTTTCCCTCACCCCCCAAGGGACCGCAGCCCGTTTCGGGGTGGAGCGAAGAAACGCATAACATTTCAGACTAGCTAGGTCGGGGCTAGAAACCCTGCGTAACTTTAGAGTACCTCTGGTGTTTAAAGCAAAATTTCTCTGGTTCTGGTAACCTCGAGCAAGTTTTGCATTTCTGAGCAGCGTTTGAGCATTTCTGAGCAACGCTGAGTGTGGAGGGGAAACCCTAAAATGGAGCAAAAGGGGCCTAGCTCTAAGCATACCGCCTGCGTTTTAGCTGTACATCTGCCTTCCCCCATAGTTTCGAGCAACTCTTAAAGAAGATTGCAAGCTCGTTTATTTATGTGCGCAGGAACGCTCGAGCAGTGAAACCAATGATCGTGCCCCTCACACCTTGAAAAAAACCCCCGCTTTTATGGAAAAAAAGGATAAAGGAAAAGAAAGGAAAAAAAAAAAAAAAAAGGCCGTTCGCACTAACTGAAAGCTATTATTTGTTGCATTGCTATTGAAAATCCGAAAAGGAACAGTTTTTTACAAGTAGCCCTCGGGGCGGTACTAGGTGAATAGATCTCATACCCCTCGTTCCAGGTAAATAACCCTTACATAAGTACGGAAAGCATAACGTGAGATACCCAGGCTCAAAAAAATAACATTTGGCACTGCTAATGTTGGCTCCCCTAAGAAATAAAGCGCAAGAAGGTGGTTTTTGAGCCTTTGGCCCTAATTATTGTATTTTAGAATAAGTTGAATAAATGTCTATCGAAAACTGACCAATGTGGCTCAAAACGTGAAGAAAGTGGCTTCAAAGAACCTCAAAAAGCCCAAAGTTGCCGAAAATTCTGAAAGTTGCCAAAATTCTAAAAAGTTGCCCAAAATCTCAAAAGTTGCCGAGCAACTTTAACTTGTGGCTAAGCCTAAAACGTAGCTCAGAAATGCAAAACTTGCTCGAGGTTACCAGGACTGCAGAAAATTTTGCTTTAAACACCAGAGGTGCTCTAAAGTTACGCAGATTTTTTAGCCCCGCCCTGGCTAGTCTGAAATGTCATGCGTTTCGTCGTCCCACCGGCCACCTCGAAACGGGCTGCGGCCCCTTGTGGGGTGGGGGCAAGGGACAGATAACATTTTACACCATGACTTAGCGTTTTTCCCCCCTCAATTTCATTTTTCTAAGGATACAATTAAGGAATTCATAATAATTTCGTATTTCAAAACGAAACTGTTGTAAAATAGGCTTTTTTAACAGCTAAAATGTGTAAGCAGGTGTTTATGGAACCAAAGTTTGTTAGGGCCCACCACTTCATAGTCTCTTGTGGAAAATATTTTTTTAGTGTTATGTTTTTAGGGTCTCTCTAGCGGATAAGTCAATTAAACTAAGGATTTTGATTATTTACATGTTCCTCTTTTATAGTTACAGAAGGTGCCGCGTGAGTTTCTTTTTTTACAATGGTATAGTTTTTTCGCACTATAACCTTGGTCTCAACGTTTCTTTGTCACGCAATCTCGTTTCGCTAAGGGGAGTAAAGGATTCGGGTCTGTTGTCAAAAAATGTGAGGTAGGTTAAAATGTTTCCCTTTTTTAAAGTTATAACGATTTGTTTCGTGAGAAATGAGAGCATTTTAAAGAATAGTTACCAACACTAAAGCCGTTTTGTTTTGTACATAAATGATAACTGTTACAAATACGACAAAAGTAAAGAAATATGCACGTAAGGGAAGTGTTGTAGTCAAGAAGTTCATAGCTCACTTTCGCGCAGTAAAATTGCTTTTCCTTTTGAAAAGTTGCCACTGTAAAATCTAGAATCACTTTTGGTGTTTAAACTGGCGGAAAAGAGGCGAATTTGCGCCAGAGTTTCAAATGCTGTCCAAGTTCCCGCTTGTATTCATCAATACAACTGCAAGTTCAAGGGTCGTAAATCCCGCGAGTACTGTAAATAAACTCGCAGTTTGAATTGCCCCAAAATTTTATTTCACAGATTGATAGGGGAAGCATTGCTCTTTCTCTGGAATACCATTTTTCTAATGAAAGCCATGTACCAGGAAGGGATTTTCGCCGTTGAAAAATGGCAAAATTGATGGTCGCGATAATACTGATTGAGAGGGTAATTTTGAAAGATTATGAAAAAATCAGATTGAAATCTTTTGAAATTGTGACAACGTTTAGATACAAAGGAAGGATCATAAAATTGTTTAAAATAAGAAAAGTCATGGTATTAGGTATTAAGGGAGGATATCACGCACATTTTTTGGTGGTTTGAAGGCCTCTCGAAGGTGAAAATTAAAAAAATTGATTATTTTGGAAAATATAAAGTCAAACGAACTGAGTCTTGACTATAGTGGCGTTGCATTTTCAAAAGAGTTAACAGAATGGGATTGCACTTTTTCGGATTTTTGGGGTAAGAGAGTTGTTCATATTTACGGTTAGCAAACGTACCAGGATATTTGTACTGTAGGTGAAAAGTAAAGTGTTCTTCATTCAATTTATTAAAAATGGGTCAATTCCTTTTTTTGATGACCTATTTAAAGGATTGATAAGGTAGATACAGAAATAGAAAGCTACTAAGTTGGGATCGCAAAAATTACATATTTGTCCAAAAGTGACTAATATGGGGTCTACAATTGGGGTAGGGCCTCTGAGAGGCCAGTGGCACATACCTAGCAAAAATTAACCCAAGTAACCACCGGGGGGCGCCGCGGTTTTGTTGAATTCATAACAGTTTTCCTGGAAAGCTCCACGGGATCTCAGTCAATATTAATGAGCGAATTTTCTTTTCAACGTAAATCAAAATGATTAGTAGAAAGAATAGTGCCCTTATTTTTGACCCCAAATTTTTTTTATAAAAAATACATAAACAGACCAGAATCTTACTTTTCCATTTAAAAAACATGAAATATTCGGCGGCGTTTCCCATGTTTCTCATATGGCGCGAAAACTTACTTTCATATGGCAACATGCGGGTATTTTTTTTTTAGCACGCTCAGGAGGTCAAAGGGATGTGATTTTTCATGAAAAAAAATATGCACAAAATTCTGCTTGACTTGTTAAGAAAATAATTTGTTTAATTTTTAATAATTAACTAACAGCTCACTGATTTATTAATTTGGGCGACCAACTTGGAGGCCTGGGCACCCCAACTAAAATGCTTGGGGAGCCCGAAGGGTTCCCTGAAATTTTCCCTAGAGTACAGCCTTGCAGCCCTGCATTTATGCAAGTATGATACATTACATGCTATTGTTAAATGTGGAAGTGCATTTTTTGAGGACATTAGTAAAGGAATGCAAATGTTAGTGAACTACCCCATACTCCTAACATATGTGGTGGTAATGTTGATGTAAGTTTTGTTTTGAGTAGCAAAGGAACCCTTGTGTGTAACTCATCTTCTAGTGTATTATTCCTTAACAGAACATCTCCGTCTCTCCTGCACACATCTGTTGCATACACTACTCAACTTTCCATTGCTATTGAACATGCAGGTAATTCTTTCGTACACGAACATATCCCGCGTAAACGCCTTCGGGTGTCTTCTTGTTTTACTCAAATAGCAGTTAAAACTATACATTAGGAAATCCACTACTTTTGCACCCAAAACAGTTAGATTATTTACGAACCTAACCTTCACTTTCAAGTGGCTTGTTTTCATAGGGGTATTTATATCACCAAGTTGGGTTTTCCCTAGTTGGTTAAACAGACTCATGAACGAAAAACATTTCACCTTGTACCATTTGTTAATTCATTTTTAATTTCATTAAAGAGTGAGAAAATGGCGCCAAGAAGTGAGATAGTAACACAGTTAGAACCCGTCAACTCAGTAGAAAAGAAGTATTCCGAAACTACTCAAAAACGCCCAGCGCCGCAAATCGTCTGGAAGAATGTTTATTTATTTCATGGCGGTACTACATCTGCTGGCATTATACGGCATTTATCTTCTACCCGGTGCAAATCTGCGGACTTGGTTATAGACTTGGTTGTGTCATTTCCTTGGAGGGCTCGGTGTAACTTGTGGAGTACATAGACTTTGGTCTCACCGATCTTACAAGGCTACGTGGCCTCTACGACTCGCGCTC